AGGACATAACTCACTTTTGAGTTTTTTCAATTACTAGGGAACGAGAAGTCTAGGGAACGAGAGTGTTTCTAAACAGTGGAACAAATACTTGATTTTTTGTTCCAAACCTTGAAAATAAGAAGGAACTCTGTAGTCGGGTGTTTTAGTTTTTTATTATGATTTTTTGTTTTCCACGCAAAATCAGCTACCCTTAGATAATACTCAGAATGGGTCAAACGATATATCATATTAAAGTCCTTACAGTCGTGATTCGATTGAAATTTAAAAGTTTTAGACACTTTTTCCTCAATGTTGAGAAAAAATCGGTTTATTAATTTTGATTGTTGGTCTAGAGTTTGAATCGAAAACTAGAAAAAGTTCAAAACATTTCTGCAAAAAAATTTTTGAAAAGTTTTTAAATGATTTTACTATTTTTTCCCGCTTTTTTTTTGTTAATTTAAAAAAATGTTTTCCAGTAGGCTGATATAACTATCACTGTCGAATAAACCTAATTTCTATTATTTGTTCAGATCTTTTCATCAACCCGCTGAAAAATGGACTCTAATTTGAATAACATTTTTTAAGACTATGATCACAACATTTTGTGCTACTTGCTCAGTAACCGGCTATTCTTGTTTTACTTTGGCCGGTTACTGCAAGTTATGACCAAGGGTGTTCTAATATATTAATATGTTTATCGCCTATGAGCTTTTTTTGAACTAGTCAAAAAGAAGCGATAAAAAGTTTATGCAAAAAGGTCTGAAAAACCTGCCTGAAAATCCAGGTGCGGCCCAAAGATATCAAGTATGATGTATCATGTATCTTGTGATGATTTAAGATACTAGATACTTTATGATATAAAGTATAATTGAGTCCTAAACTAAGCGAAGAGGTAAGTGAAGGAACTATTTTCTTTTTCATCACTTCAATAAATTTTGAAAAAAGTAAACAAAAAAAAATAAACAAATTTTTGTGCTTTAAGAAAATTATATTTTTTAACCAAAGAGCTTAATTTGGCACTCTTTACCCTGATCAAAAAAATAAATTGGACAATATGTCGTTTTTTTTGTAGTTTAAGCCAGCAGATATTGGAAAAAAATTTAAAAAAATCTTTATCTGATACCTCGAAGAATGAAAAACAAAATAATTTAAGATACTGCGGACCAGAGGCGGATCTACGGTTTTTTCGACGAGGGGCGGACTTTCGAAATTTTTAGAAAATTTAGTTGACCTTTTTTTCAGGTCGATCAAATGGTTTCTTGAGGTCTCCTAAATCACTAAAAGGACCCTTTTTTGACCAAACTTTCTGCGCCGCAGCCATTTTTTTTGTAAAAAAGACAGGCCAAAAATTCCGTTTTTGGGTTTTTTGAATGTTTTGTTTGACTAAAAAGTTGCGTTTTTTCGGCGCGCGCTCCCTGTCAAAATTAGCTCATAATGCCGCCGTAAAATTTTGGCGCCGAATCCGTAAGGGAAGGGTGGTAAATTGTTTGGAAACACCCCCAATCCTCACCCCACATTCGCACCTGGCTGAGGACATAACTCACTTTTGAATTTTTTCAATTACTAGGGAACGAGAAGTCTAGGGAACGAGAGTGTTTCTAAACAGTGGAACAAATACTTGATTTTTTGTTCCGAACCTTGAAAATGGGAAGGAACTCTGTAGTCGGGTGTTTTAGTTTTTTATTATTAATTTTTGATTTCCACGCAAAATCAGCTACCCTTAGATAATACTCAGAATGGGTCGAACGATATATCATATTAAAGTCCTTACAGTCGTGATTCGATTGAAATTTAAAAGTTTTAGACACTTTTTCCTCAATGTTGAGAAAAAATCGGTTTAACAATTTTGATTGTTGGTCTAGAGTTCGAATCGAAAACTAGAAAAAGTTCAAAACATTTCTGCAAAAAAATTTTTGAAAAGTTTTTAAATGATTTTACTATTTTTTCCCGCTTTTTTTGTTAATTTAAAAAAAAATGTTTTCCAGTAGGCTGATATAACTATCACTGTCGAATAAACCTAATTTCTATTACTTGTTCAGATCTTTTCATCAACCCGCTGAAAAATGGACTCTAATTTGAATAACATTTTTTAAGACTATGATCACAACATTTTGTGCTACTTGCTCAGTAACCGGCTATTCTTGTTTTACTTTGGCCGGTTACTGCAAGTTATGACCAAGAGTGTTCTAATATATTAATTTGTTTATCGCCTATGAGCTTTTTTTGAACTACTCAAAAAAAAGCGATAAAAAGTTTATGCAAAAAGGTCTGAAAAACCTGCCTGAAAATCCAGGTGCGGCCCAAAGATATCAAGTATGATGTATCATGTATCTTGTGATGATTTAAGATACTAGATACTTTATGATATAAAGTATAATTGAGTCCTAAACTAAGCGAAAAGGTAATTGAAGGAACTATTTTCTTTTTCATCACTTCAATAAATTTTGAAAAAAGTAAACAAAAAAAAATAAACAAATTTTTGTGCTTTAAGAAAATTATATTTTTTAACCAAAGAGCTTAATTTGGCACTCTTTACCCTAATCAGAAAAATAAATTGGACAATATGTCGTTTTTTTGTAGTTTAAGCCAGCAGATATTGGAAAAAAATTTTAAAAAATCTTTATCTGATACCTCGAAGAATGAAAAACTAAATAATTTTAGATACTGCGGACCAGAGGCGGATCTACGGTTTTTTCGACGAGGAGCGGACTTTCGAAATTTTTAAAAAATTTTGTTGACCTTTTTTCAGGTCGATCAAATGGTTTCTTGAGGTCTCCTAAATCACTAAAAGGACCCTTTTTTGACCAAACTTTCTGCGCCGCAGCCATTTTTTTTGTAAAAAAGACAGGCCAAAAATTCCGTTTTTGGGTTTTTTGAATGTTTTGTTTGACTAAAAAGTTGCGTTTTTTCGGCGTGCGCTCCCTGTCAAAATTAGCTCATAATGCCGCCGTAAAATTTTGGCGCCGAATCTGTAAGGGAAGGGTGGTAAATTGTCTGGAAACACCCCCAATCCTCACCCCACATTCGCCCCTGGCTGAGGACATAACTCACTTTTGAGTTTTTTCAATTACTAGGGAACGAGAAGTCTAGGGAACGAGAGTGTTTCTAAACAGTGGAACAAATACTTGATTTTTTGTTCCGAACCTTGAAAATGGGGAGGAACTCTGTAGTCGGGTGTTTTAGTTTTTTATTATTATTTTTTGTTTTCCACGCAAAATCAGCTACCCTTAGATAATACTCAGAATGGGTCGAGCGATATATCATATTAAAGTCCTTACAGTCGTGATTCGATTGAAATTTAAGAGTTTTAGACACTTTTTCCTCAATGTTGAGAAAAATCGGTTTAACAATTTTGATTGTTGGTCTAGAGTTCGAATCGAAAACTAGAAAAAGTTCAAAACATTTCTGCAAAAAAATTTTTGAAAAGTTTTTAAATGATTTTACTATTTTTTCCCGCTTTTTTTGTTAATTTAAAAAAAAATGTTTTCCAGTAGGCTGATATAACTATTACTGTCGAATAAACCTAATTTCTATTATTTGTTCAGATCTTTTCATCAACCCGCTGAAAAATGGACTCTAATTTGAATAACCTTTTTTAAGACTATGATCACAACATTTTGTGCTACTTGCTCAGTAACCGGCTATTCTTGTTTTACTTTGGCCGGTTACTGCAAGTTATGACCAAGAGTGTTCTAATATATTAATTTGTTTATCGCCTATGAGCTTTTTTTGAACTACTCAAAAAAAAGCGATAAAAAGTTTATGCAAAAAGGTCTGAAAAACCTGCCTGAAAATCCAGGTGCGGCCCAAAGATATCAAGTATGATGTATCATGTATCTTGTGATGATTTAAGATACTAGATACTTTATGATATAAAGTATAATTGAGTCCTAAACTAAGCGAAGAGGTAAGTGAAGGAACTATTTTCTTTTTCATCACTTCAATAAATTTTGAAAAAAGTAAACAAAAAAAAATAAACAAATTTTTGTGCTTTAAGAAAATTATATTTTTTAACCAAAGAGCTTAATTTGGCACTCTTTACCCTAATCAGAAAAATAAATTCGACAATATGTCGTTTTTTTGTAGTTTAAGCCAGCAGATATTGGAAAAAAGTTTAAAAAAATCTTTATCTGATACCTCGAAGAATGAAAAACAAAATAATTTTAGATACTGCGGACCAGAGGCGGATCTACGGTTTTTTCGACGAGGGGCGGACTTTCGAAATTTTTAGAAAATTTAGTTGACCTTTTTTTCAGGTCGATCAAATGGTTTCTTGAGGTCTCCTAAATCACTAAAAGGACCCTTTTTTGACCAAACTTTCTGCGCCGCAGCCATTTTTTTTGTAAAAAAGACAGACCAAAAATTCCGTTTTTGGGTTTTTTGAATGTTTTGTTTGACTAAAAAGTTGCGTTTTTTCGGCGCGCGCTCCCTGTCAAAATTAGCACATAATGCCGCCGTAAAATTTTGGCGCCGAATCCGTAAGGGAAGGGTGGTAAATTGTCTGGAAACACCCCCAACCGTCACCCCACATTCGCCCCTGGCTGAGGACATAACTCACTTTTGAGTTTTTTCAATTACTAGGGAACGAGAAGTCCCAAGCTTTTTGTAAACGTTGGCAATTGTAAAATGTAGAAATTTGAGAAGTGTGTACATGTGAGCCGACGACTCGCTTTTTTGCGTACGAGTAAACATATGAGGTTATGAAAACAATTATAGCCATAATTAAAATTAAAATTGATTTATTAAAATTTTTAGTCATTCTGGCGTTCTATGCATTATTAAACTTTTTCCTTTACATGTCGTTTTAAAAAATCCAATGTATACCTAAAGACAAAAATAACACAATTAAAACTGGCAAAACAATTTCGAAACTTTTGATTTTTATGTCAAAATATTTTTTTCTAATTCAAATCGATGCGCTTTTTAACAATTTTTGGCAAGTCGGAGATGCATTTTAAACTCAAACAAAAATGCTATGATAACTAAAATTTTGTAACGAGCAGAAGATCTGCGTGACTTACCTTCGATTATCTCGTTTGGCTTCATCAAACTTAGAGACGCACTCTTCGTGTTTGGCAGAGGAGTCGTAGTCAAAGGGCATATCGCAGGGAAAACACAAGTTAATCAAATTAATTGTTTATTTATTAAAATGTAATGCTTTGACGAATTTTTTTTGGAAAGACATGACTCATGTTACGTTTTAATTTGGTAGCACGCAACTCTTTCTGTGTCATTTCATTGTATTTTTCATCTAACCTGTCCAAGTGGCGCTTTTGATTGATAACAAAAGCCAGTCTACCAGATTTATGTCAGCTTTTCAAGGAGCTGTTTCATTTTTGGGATTTCTTTTATGATTCAGTTTAATACAGCTGAGTGAACACTTAGACTTTCTGCCTCTTTTGAATTTAGTACAGAAATTTTGTTACCTTTCTAAAATCTAAAAAAAAAAACAATTATGTCTTTATCCAGGTAAAGCTGCCTAATATTGAAAGCATCCTTCATGAAAATAGGCTCAAACGCAAAATTAATTTGCTAAGAAGCGACAAAAAAGAATTCTTTTTAATAGGCAGTAGCTGATTTAGGCGAGAAGGGGGTATTTCGTATTATTTTAAAACATCTATTTTTTGCTGATCGAATCTAAACTTTTTCTAAAGGCGTCTTGGATGCCAATATACTAGGTTTTAAGGGGTGAACGCGCGACAAAAAACGCATTTTTTAAGTCAAAACGGTCCGAATAAACTGATTTGCAAATTAATTTTGAGCTCAGTTCATCGATGTTAATATGGTATAAATTCTTGTCTCGACTTTTTTGTTTTTGATAGAAAATTACAACCTTATGGTACAAATGCCCCCTAAAAATTGGGAATTACAACTTTGAAGCAGTTCTTTCTCCAATAATCTCAATGTTTGAGTTCCAAAACACACACTGCGTCCTCTAGACCAACTAGATTACAATTTTTATTCATAATTGTGGTCATAGTTTCAAACGAATACACTCTAAAAAATTGAGGTTATAATGCTTTAAGTGACCCAATTTAAATGATAGTTAAGATGAATTTTTTAATTTTTTTTTTGAAAAATTAGCTGATATGTGTTTGATTCATGGTTGAGCTGGTAATTGACCTTGGTTGAGGTGATCGACTCATATATCGAGCATATATGGGTCGACCTTTGTCCTCGTTCGATTTGTGGGTCGAACACTGTCGGAAATCAAACTGTAGGTCAAACCGTGACCACTGTCGACGCCGCTCGACTTGGGTCATCTGTGGTCGGTTTTTTCAAACTCATCTAAGCACATCTATTTGTTAATTATTTAAACTTTTCAGAAGACTCGTTAACTAAAAAAAACAGTTTCGAAAACACTATTTTTTTGAATGAACTAAAATTCCTTCGTTTCAAACGAATTCACTGCATTTTTTAGGTTTCTGCATTAAAACTTCATGATTTCTAATGATACAATTTTTTCTTCGTTTTCCTTCAAATTATTTTTATTCTGATCAGGGGCGGCTCTAGGATTTTCTCGAGGGGGGGGGGGGCGGATGTTCGAAAAACTTTCGAAACTTTTGATTTTTTTTGTTCGAACAAAATGATTTCCCGAGCTCTCTCAAAGCAATAAAAAGACCCTGTTTTGCCAAAATTTCTGTGCCGCAGGCAAAATTTTGAAATAGGCCAAAAATTGCGTTTTTTCGGCGCGCGCTTCCCCCTAAAAGTTAGTATATATTGGTGCTAAAGGCGCCTTTAGAAAATTTTCAGGGTCTGCCAGTCAAAAATGGATATCTCAAAATAGTTCGAAGGGGGACCCTTTGGATCGGCAGGGGGTCGAATCCCTGAGTGGGAGGCGTCCGCACCCCCCTCACCTCCTAAATCCGCCCCTGATTTTGATCAACCATTTTTGATTGATGAGCTATTTGTATTAGTTTTTAACGGATCTATGAATTTTTTGTGATAAAACTTTGTGTTAAGATGCGCTAATAGGAGACAAGGCATCTTTCAGTCGAAGTTTTGACAATCTGTGCCAATTTTTTATCGTCAGTGCATCCACCTTATGTCTCGGTCTCAATCAACTGATGCATCGACCGTTGTCGCACGAATGCTTTGATCAACCTATAAATTCTGGGTCAACATGCAGACTTTCATTCGACCCAAATGGTCGAAACATAAGTCAAATGAATTAACCCGAGACTATCATTTTTACATGTTGTACAGACAATTGTTTCCATTTCTACTGAGTGATTTTCAAACCTGTAAACTTCGTTCGATTATTACCTTAAATTTATATGATTCATTACAATGCCAAACTGTGCATTTTGTGCATTGTAAGCGGATTCCGCAACAAGGACGCTCCCTTTGTTCTTCTTTTGTTCTTTACTCTCCTTTGATCGTTCCGACAAAATTTTCACTCGTTTAAAGACTTGTCTCTGGAATCCAGCAACATACAGACACAAAATTGTGCTCCTATCCAGTGCACAGTTTGGCTTCGTAATGTTGACTTATACAAAATGGTAGAACACAATTAAATCATACTATTCTTTTCAATTTTGGTAGACCAAGTTTTTGAAGCCCATTTTCCGCAAAGCACATTCGCATGAAATTATAATTTGCCAACCAACGACATTTTACGAGGCAACCAAACCGACAAAACCTAATTTGATCTAATCAGGCCTTTTGTAAATGTTGGGCAACAAAAAAGAGGGAAACAAAATATGATCGTGCAAAACTGGAGTTGTAAGCCTTGAACCGAGATTTAAAAAAGAAAATATTTATTTTTCATGTCTAACTTTTGACGATAATAATAGGAAATTTGTTTTCAGGCTAGTATTTCAGTAGTGCTTGTCATAAAACCGCATTTACAGTCATAAAACGAACATTAGCTTGAGAGATAGTCATCAGACCTTCTGGTCTGTTTTCAGACTTCTCTGAGCGGAAAAATAAAACTGTTCTCTTAATAACCTCCGATTTTCATCGGCATCGATCAGAACGCAAAAAATCAACCAAGTACGAGCTTTCTATATAAAGAAAAAAAAGAAATAGAGGAAATATTAAATCAAACTGTTCAGATTTTATTTTGAATTTCCTTGCTGTATTTTGTGTTCAATAGATCTTCATTGCTCAAAATGAAGTTATCTAAAAAAATGTTGTTTTTATCTGTTTATGGCTGTTTTAGACATTTTCTAGGTACACTAATCCCAGTTCTTTCCATAGTTAAAGATACAACTGAGCATTTTTCTTTATCTTAAAAGCAGTGAGTTTTTGTTTTAAAATTTGCACCTGTCGTTAAATTTTTCGAATTTCTTTTTTTTTGATATTTTACTCAGGTCAGCATCAGTTACAACGTTGCGTAACGTATCTACTGGGTAGTTTTTTTGGATTATTTTTTTAAGGCTGTAAAAATTTCATACATGTGAAGTTCAGCATATGTATATATTTTGTGTGTTTCCGTGCCAATCCTATTGTGTCGAATCTAAGCTTAACGAAAACTATTCTGTATAGTCTCTTGAACTCATTATCCAGTTTTTTCATAACACTTTTCTTTGAAGTGCCATTTAATTAAAACTCCAAATTGAATAATAGGTTGCACAAATACTTTACATACACGTATCAACTGTTTAGTGCTGAAGACTTTTCTTAATTGATCGTATAAACTGCAAAATGTGTTTGTTTTTTTTTCCTGAGAATAGTGATTGACAAAACTTAAAATAATGTCTTTTGTTATTCCTAAGTACTTAAAGGTTTTCATGTTTCAATAACTCTTTGATTCATAACCGCTTCGATTACAACTTTCTGTTTTTTTTGTTTATCGGTTTTGAGAGTTAGAGTTTTTTCTTTCAGCCAACGCTCAGTTTCGTTTAACCCTGTTTGATGCTTCTGAGCTAATCAATCATTTTAAGCTGAAATTAAAATTGCAGTGTCGTCTGCATAAAGAAAAGTTTGAGTAATTTGTTGACTTGAGGATAAATCGTTTAAGAAAATAATGAAAAGAATTGCACTTAAAACTGACTCCTGTGGCACTCCTTAAGAAAAGTAAATCATCACTTTTTTCAGTGATAATATACGTTCGCAAAGTTCAAAAATGGGACCACGCAAACTATAAGAGTAAGTTTAAATGATCAACCGTGTTGAAGGCCTATTTTTAGATTAAAAAAAAACATTGCTTTGAACTTTTTCACTGTTTCACTCAAGACGGAGTGTTTCGCCGCTTTTCATAAGCTAGGTGGTATATGTGTTTTCAATTGAACATCGATCTTGTACTAAACCAAATTTTGTATTCTCTGAAACTTTTTGAATCTTGAAAAACTCTTTCAATCTATTGTAAATTAGTTTTGCAAATACTATACCCAAACTGGAAAGTAAGGAAATTGGTCTGTAGTTTTCTGGCTTACGCTTAGATCCCTCTTCGTTAACCGGAAATTTTTGCAGTCTATGAGCACGCTGGGAAATAGCCTTATTCAAAACACTTTTTGATTAATTCTTCTAGCACTGGCAGAGTTTCTTTTACTATTGATTTCAAGAAAACATAATTTAGATTGAAACAATCTAAATTACATTTAGTTTCAAGTTTTGTAAGATCTCAATAATTTAAGCCATATGAACTGGCCTTAAAAACATAGTTTGTAAACTTTGTCGCCGCTTTTTAGCTTTACCGCTTTGTTTTTCATCCTTTTTGCTAATTTTTCCCCAAAAGTTGAAGAACAAATATTGAAACCTTCGACTTCCGTTTCATCGAATATTTCGTCATTTTTTTGGTTTAATTTTATCGGTTACCTCATTCAGAAGAAAAAAAATTTCCTACAATTGCTTTTAGCCTCTGCGTTAAATTTTTGTTGGTAGATTTTTTTTTGTCGTATCAGATGCTTAACTTTTATGCCTAAATAGAGTTTTTAAATCGCCTAAATTATAACAAAAAATAAAACGAGTTTCAATTTTGATCTACTTGCTCCATGTGTCGGTGTTTTTGTATTTAGCAATCTCAAATTGTACCATACAAATTGTTTGACAGCTCAACATTTTGTTGCGAGGTTCCTCTACTGTTTCTCTTGAAGCTGCCGCAATTATTTTGTGCGTTGCATCTGGAAAAATGATTGAGTTTTCCAAGTGTGATTCCAATTTACTCAAAGTTTGTTTATTAATTGAGCTAGGTGGTATATGTAAACACGTGATAAAATAGGTTTTAATTTTTGCTTTGATCTGTAAAGTAAAAATTTGTGCTGGGTTTAAAGTTGTTTGACTTATTATCTGATAACTTAAATCGTCTCTGATGTAAATTGCAACGCCTGCTCCTCTTTTCTTAAGACTAATTGTCTGAATATTATGATAGTCGCT